CCCAGGCTAGCCCCAGATGCCTGGGTTCAAGTGACCCTTTTGCCTCAGCTTTCTAAGTATCTGGGATTACAGGCATATTCCACTATACCTGGCCAAAAAACATCTTTTTTAAAAAAGTAAAATGACAAGAAGATATTTGTAAGGTGTCAGGTATGAACATGAATTAAGGCTCTGGTTAACAGGATATAGCCTTGTAGATGTCAATATCATAATCCTTGGGACTGTGACTATGCTACACGGTGAAAGATTATGACAGACAACAGAAAGGTTACAGAATTTAAAACAAGATTTTTTTGGGTTGCCAAGGGGCCCGATACCCAGTGAGCCCTACAGAGTAGAAAATGAAGACTGCAGAGTGGATCAGAGAAACAGAAGATGGAAGAGGCAGAGAGACAGGAGGAGAGATGAGAAGGAAAAGATGGCGGCAGGAGAGCCAAGAGGCAGGTGAGATGGGAGGTGTACAGAGACCAGACCAGCTACTGCCACCTTTAGAAGTGGAAGAAGGGGCCATATATGGGTCATGGAATGTGGGTGGTCTCTAGAATCTGGGAAGGAAACAGAAGTAGATTTACATTTAACCAGGAGTTGGATTCTTCCAACATCTTCAATGATGAAGGAAAAGAACTGTGCCCTAGAAGATTCAGAAAGGAATCTAGTCCTTGATTAAATCCTGATTTCAATTGTATAAGATCCATGTTGCCCTTCTGACCTATAAACTGTAAGATAATGAATTTGGGTTATTTTAAGCCACTAAATTTGTGATTGGTTATAGCAGCACTAGAAAATTAGTATTTGTAAAACTCATACAGGTACTTCAGAAATCCAATCTAAGCAGAACTGAAGATGTGCATTTCTTCCATATTAAGAACCTCAATTTCTCTTTACATCCTGGAGAAACTCTTGTCTGGGCACATAGGACCATGTACCATGATGTCTGTAACTAGGAAAACTGGAAAGATCCTAAGTATCCTCCATGAAGGAGCAATAAAGTCACTATGTTCTAGTCATCCCATGAAGTTCTATGAAGCAGGTAAGAAGAATCCTCAGGAGCTTCCTAAATGCACACGGGAAAAACACAACACAACTTCAGTATGGCTCAGAGGGTCAGCAACCACCATGGACAACCACTATGGAGGTGGTACTCTTGAATGTGAGAATCTGGCCACCTGGGCTAGGGGCCCATCCACGCCACTCATAGGCTGTATGACCTGGATGTTATACTACCCCCTAACCCCAGCCTTCTCACTTACAAACTAAGGACAAAAACACCACTGAGCATTAAATCCGAATCTGCACATAAACTACTTAGTACGGTTCCTGCACCTAGCACACCTTGAAAAAAGTGCTTTGTAACAATGATGTTGGTCACATTTTGACAGTATATTTCTGTCATTTGAACAGCCTAGATAATGCTGGTGTGTGCTATAAGCTTGCAAGCATGTCAAAGAAAAGCAGGCTTTGTCTAAGGCTGGGGAAGGCAGGGTAGTGAGCAGACCACAGTGAGCAAGGCCCAAAGACAGTGCTGTGTCTGAGTGGAAGGAACAGAAGAGGAGGTTAGACCAGTGAACCTGCAGATTTCTCCTTCCTCCAACATTCTGAGACCTGTTTTTCAGAAAATAGATTATATGGATTTTTAACTAAGGATCCATCATGTGCTTTCAGATGCTGTGATCCTCCCCCTCAAAAAAAGATGCATTATTTGGCATGTGTATGTGCAAGTGCATCTTGGAGGTGTGTCCATGGTTTGTATCAGATCCTCAGGAGGTCCTGCATCACTCAATCAGGTTATGAAAACTGTTTTTCCATACAAAGAAAATCCTTTCCCCTACGAGCCTTTTTGCTTTTAAACCCCCTGCAGATGTGGCTGTGTCTCAGAAAAAGGTTCCTATTCCTTAGAAAACTGGCTCCCACAGAAGGAAGTATGTACTGGAGGTGAGGTTGCTTTGACATAGTCTTAAAATCAACAGGCCTGGACTGAGTCCCAGCTCCATCAACTGTTTCCTGGGGGAGAATGGTATTATCTATTTTGCTGGCCCGACAGCATTTGCCACGAGTGCCAAATTAGATACACCAAGTTGTGTAAAGTACCTGTGAATGGCTACTGCTGTTGGATTCAGAAATGAGTGACTGCCCCCAACAGACCCAAGTACATTTACCTTACCTGACCAGATGAGGTTTAACGAATGCTTGCTCTGGCTGCTCTTGGCTCTCAACCTGCAGAGCATCCTCCAACAACTGGGCTATGACATCTCGGGCAGGCCCCTGTTCTTCTGAGCAAACCGGTGTCTTCATTTCTTGAAGCAGTATTAAGTATTTACTTTCTACCTGGCAGAGCTTGGCTTCCAGGCTAGAATACTGCAGAGAATGTAGGGGTTACCTCCATCCAGAGAGACTCATGGGAAAAGCAATCCTTAGGTATCTTAGGCAACTAATGAGCCCAAACAAACATACCCCAAACTATTAGGAAGTGAGTTAGACACAGACTGCAACATAGGTAATGCATGCCATGGGCCCTTTCAGGTTTAAAATGGCCTCCTATGGTTCCCTTCTAACAGTCTGACACAGAAGGGGTGCCCATAACCAAAAATCTAGGTACCAACACAAGCATCATCCCTTGACAGGCTCAGAGTGCACAACAGAAACTGGGTCATAATCCAATTTCTGAGGTCAAGGCTGGTCCCACTTGGCGTATGGGCCATGAGTGGACGCCCCATACAACTAACTTCCTTAGGACACTGACCAGGACTAGTTTCTATCTGCTACATGATGAAAGAAAGAAAAAAAAAAAAACAACAAAATGCTCCATCCTGACAAATATACAGGAATAAAGTTTGGGAACATGCTTTGAAGGCTGCTCAGAAATAGTATATAAGGTATACAACAGCTGTGGACAAGAGTAACTCATCTGCTTCAATTGGGATGTCCGTGGTCCCTTACTCTGTGCAAAGCTTCTTGCAGCCATAATCATGGCCGACTCTCAAGTCAACCCTACTGTGTTTACAGAGATGGGAATATTCTCACTATCCCCATTTTACACACGTGAAACTGGAACTCAACAAAATAAACAAAAAACCCAGATAAATTTAATCTGGGGAATCTTATACATGTACTTCCCCCCCCCCCAAAAAAAAAAACACAATAAAAAATACATACATATGAAGTAGGCCCTATCTAGATATTTCTTTGTCATCAATAAAGAAAATGCACGGTATATATTTTATGTACTTTTTTTATTCTAGTAGCCGTATTTCTCCAAAGATGGTGGTTGAACAGGTTTTAAAGTGTATACACTTAAATATGGTTTCCTAACCTTCCCTCCCATCAGATAATAAATACACCAGTCTTGACCTACCTTTGCCATCAGATCTCTTTCTCTTCTTTCTGCATTTCTTCGTAGAGCTGAGAGTTCCAAAATTTCCTTATTTAGAAATTTATTTTGGGTTTTGTACCCCTGTAGATTATCCTGTGGGGGAAAAAGTTTAACAATTAATGTGGGCTGTATGGTGACTAATCATCCCATGTAATTAGCACCTTTCACCTCACTGAGTCCTGCTGAATGAGAACAAGTTCTAAAAGAAGAGGTTAATAGGAACTTTCTAATTAATCTTTTTGGCCTTTGTAACAGCAGAAGGAACGTGGGAAGGGCTGCTGTGATGAAGGAGATGGAATAAAAACATTTACTTAACTGTGGCAATTTTTCTCAACTAATGACAAGGAGGAATAAACAGGGTGTATTTTCTAAATCTATACAAACTACTTATATTCATTAAAGTGGTTCCCAAAAAGGACCATTATCTTAACACTCTTTTCTTAAGCCAGAGAACTGAGCATGTCCTTTGTAGGTTCTCTCTCTTTTTTCCTTTTTTCTTTTTGGTTTTTTTGAGACAGGGTCTCCCTGTAGCCCAAGCTGTCCTGGAACTCACTATATAGACCAGGCTGGCCTTGAACGCACAGAGATCTGCCTGCCTCTGCCTCCCGAGTGCTGGGATTAAAGGCGTGTGCCACCATGCCCAGCAGGTTCTCATTTTTATTTAGCCAGTGTTCTAGTTTGTTTCTCCATTGCCTTGACAAAACACTCTGCCCACTACCAAATTGGGGAGGAAAAGGTTTATTTGGCTTACATTGCCCTAATCACAGTTTATCAGGGAGCCCAAGGTTTCTCAGGGCAGAAACCTGGAGGCAGGAGCTGGAGCACAGGCCACAGAGGAATGCTGCTTACTGGCTTGCTCCCAGGCCTCTGCTCAGCCTGCTTTCTTATGCAACACAGGCCCAGCTGCCCAAGGGTGGCACCACCCACAGTGGGCTGGGCCCTCCCATATCACACAACAATCAAGAAGATGCCTCACAGACATGGCCACAGGCCAGTTCAATAGAGGCAATTCCCCAATAGAGGCTTCCTCAACCCAGGTGTGTCAAGTTGACACTAAAGCTATCCAGCACAGCCAGCCTCTATAAAAAGGCTACAAATATACAAAAGCCCTCACCTAAGAATGACACTGCAGCAATGAATATCCACAACCTACGATGAACAGGCACCTGAGAAAACATGTTCCTCATCTTTTGCAACTGGAAAGTTTCAAAATTATGGAAAAGCTGAAAGAAAAGTACAATAGGCCTGGTGGTAGAGTGCCGTGATAAAGTTCTGGGGACCAATCCCCAGTACTACCTCCCCAAATTACCAAGAACACAATATGCCCTTGACTTAACTTGCCGACTGTTAACTTCTGCCTCATTTTATCCTTGAGAAAATTTAACAAGTTGATGACAAATTTTGCCAAGTTCCACTTAAAGCACAGGTGTGGCTGAGGCAGGTGTGTAACTTGGCTTCAGTTCTTGAGGCTCTGAGCAAAAAATACACAAAGGAGCCAGCAACAGTCAAGGGAGGTAAGGAAATTTTCGTATAAATGCTTTGAAAGAAAGTTTACAATTTCTTTCGATGATGGAGTCTAGATAAAGAGTGAATTAGAACTGCCCTGGGGTCATGGTTTCCAAAGACTCCTTATAAATTCTATCTTTTGTAAATATGTCCTCCCTCTGGCCCTGACCATTTCTGAGTATTTCTCCAGACATTTCCTTGTCTCTGGACTTAGGAAACCTCTTCGAGGGTATAGAATTTCCCTACCAAATGCAGAAGCACTGAAAATGTTTCAGTAGTGTTCCTTTACTCTCTAACATTCATGGGGCACTTGCTACGGTCATGAGTGCCCTGGCTAGGCATGTAAGCATCCTGATCTGGTTTATACCTCAGTCTCAGGGATACAGCTGGTCATGTAGCCTCCAGGCAGAGAACTGAGCCAAGGAGGCTGTCCATCCACCCAGTGCAGGGCTGGGAAGCAGGCTTCTGAGTTCTGAGGGCCAGTCTGAAGGCTCTTGGCTCTGGACACTGAACCCCATCACACCTACACACCCCCTGGCACAACACGCTCAGCATCAGCAAGCTAAGCATTCAAGACTCAAGGTACAAATGCCAGAAAAGAAAGGACCAAAATACCCCTTCCTTTTCCAAATGGTATTCTCTTCTCTCCTAGCACCTTAAAAATGCTGTATCTGGAAACAATGAACAAACACATCACTAAAAGGCAGGTCAGTCAAAGAACATTGGCAGCAGAGAAACTAAATATACTCCGCTGTGAGGGCAGAGATGGAGTGATAGGAGGTAGGTCACCATTGGATGCAGACCTATAGCTTTAGCCTAAAATTTATGTTACAGTCTAAGTTAAGTCCTGACCATTTATGATAAGTACACTTTCTTGAGACTGATATAATCTTAATAACAGCATCTAGCAATAAAGATTCCACAAGGTGCCAGGCCTAGATGTGGACGTCAACCCTCATAACACCCTATGAGTAATGAGTAGCACTGTTTCATAGATGAGGCAGAGACTTGAGGTCACTGCCTACCATCAGAGCTCACAGTGTAAAGCTGGCTTTGCACCCAACTCAATGCGAGCCACCCATACTCTTCCACATCCCCACAACGGTGGCTTCTTTGCCCATGGGGAGGAATAGATCCCACTGGCAGTAATAGGCTTGGACAGAGCAATGCCAGAGAGTGTGAGGTCCTGATCCAGGGGGGATACCCCTGTCCCACTATAAATGCACCTGACAACCACCTGCCCCTTATAATGTCCCTATTGGGCTTCATTGTGTAGGCTTTGGAGTCAGAGCTTTAAAATAGTTGAGAAATATTAGGGAAAAGATCCTCATGACACACTCAAAACTGCCCCAGCTACACAGGGAAATAGGAGATGGTCTGTGCACTTGGATCGGGTGAGTAGTCTCCAAAGGCGCTGAGGTCACAGCAGCCATGGGGCCCATTCTCACACCCTGGGTAAGCTCCCTGGGGAAATGTGTGCCATGCATTTTTCTACTGCCAAGCAAAACCCACCACCACCAGCTGGAAACCGCATGTAAAAACCTCAACAACAAAACCAGACACTCCCACAAAACATGCATTTCAATGTATTGCTGCTGAGATGGACAGGAAGGGTCAGGAATATTCAAGGTTGTCTATATAAACAAAGCTGACTTTCAACTTCTACTGACAAAACTAAGACCTCATAGGAGGGGAGGGGAGGCGAGGCAGACAGACATGGTAGCCCATATCTATAATTCCAGCACTCAGGAGGCTGAGATGAAAGATTACCTTGAGTTTGAGGTCAGTCTGTGCTACAGTGAGTTCCAGGTCAGCCTGAGCTATCAATCAATCAATCAATCATCAATCAATCAATGCTGTTTTTAAAAAAATATTTTATTTATTATTTTTATTTTTTTATGTGTATGAGTGTATTGCCTGCATGTAAGTGCACCTGTGTCATGCAATGCCTGCAGAGGTCAAAAGAGAGCAGCACTGGATCTCATGGAACTGGAGTTATGGATGGTTATTAGCCACCATGTAGGTGCTGGGAATCGAACCTGGGTCCTCTACAAGAGCAGTCAGTGCTCTCAACCACTGAGTCGCCTCTCTAGCCCCTTCAATGTTGTTTTTATAGTAGATATAAATATGAAATGATGAGATGAAGATTTTTGTTGTTTTGGCTTCTCATTAAATAATTCACTGGAGTTGGGAAGATGACTAAGTAGGTGAAGGGCCCACTGCCCAAGTTTGAGGACTTGAGTCTGGACTTCTAGCAACCATGTAAAAGCTAGGCATTATGGCACATGCCTTTAGTCCCAGCACCTGGGAGGCAGAGGCAGGCAGATCTCTGAGTTCCAGGCCAGCCTGGACTACATAGTGAGTTCTAGGCCAGCTGGGGCTACAGGGAGAACCTGTCTCAAAAAGACCAAAAAAAGAAAAAAAGAAAAAAAAGCACTAGGCATCATGGTATGCGTCTGTAACCTTAGTGCTGGGGGTAAAGACAGGAGAATCCCAGGGGGCTTGCTGGCTGATGAGTTCTGGGTTCAGTCAGAGACTCTGTCTCAAAAAATAAGATGGAGAAAGACAGAGGAAGACAACCCAGTGTCAATCCTTGGCCTCTCTCTGCATGACCCTATTTGTTCATGAACACCATATCACACACAACACCCTGCAGGTCTTGTGTATTCAATGAGTGCTGTCACTATAAGACACTGCACAACAATGCTGCCACTGTTTCAGTGTTTTTAACTAAATTCCCAGCCTGCTCATCACTCACTCAACTCACTGCCAACAAGGGAAAGGAGCTGTAGGTCATGAAGTATGTGCTCAGTAATGATCCCAACGGTGACACACCTGGACCCTTCAAAGATAAAACTCCATTTGGAACCCAAACATGTCTGGAATCTAAGTATTTGCAAGAAGACAACAGCCAAGTGGAAAGACTCTGGGACTGATAGCTACAGATCTATTTGTGGTCTGCTGGGATCAGTTGGGCTTTAACCAGTGTCCCATGTTCCAGGGGTGCTTGTCCACCTGAAACTTCTCCATAGAGTCTCAGGAACTGCTGACAGCAGCAAAGATGTGATGGTCCCCTCTATGGCCTTGCTGACAGCAGCCCAAGTCATCTAGCTGTCTACTCTGGACCAATGGGCTTCTCTGCAGGCTGTGAGGCTGCCCCTGCCACCCACAAGTATGAGTGGCTTCCTCCCTGGCTGCTGGTTTCCTGCTTCTTTTCAGGTCTGCCTGGAGATGGATCCACCTCCCGAGCTGGACCTAGTCTGGCTATTGGGAACAAATCTCCCACCCCACGCCTGTGGCAAGCTGGGCAGATTAAGTTTGTGTTGCATTCATGTACACAGATGTCGCAACTGACAGCCTCCATATGTTCCATGGCATAATGAGGTCTTGAGGATGGGATAAACAGAAAGAGAGATTTTGGTTATTCAAAAGCAAGGGAGGAGATGATCTGAAACTGTTTCAAGCAATGGCAACAGTGCTAGAAGTGCTTCCAAGGAAGCTCCTTAGAAAGCTGTAAAACCTGTTCTACTGGGGCCAGAGATATGGCCCAGTGGTTAAGAGCACTGACTGCTCTTGCAGAGGACCCAGATTCGATTCCTAGCACCCACATGGCAGCTAACAACCATCTATAACTCCAGGCCAGGAGATACAATGCCCTCTTCTGACTTCCTTGGGCATTGCACGACACAGATGCACATGTAGGCAATACACTCATACAAATAAAATAAAAACAATAAATATAAAAAAGCTTAAAACGTATTGCACTTCACACACACACACACACACACACACACACACACACACACACACACACACACCCTCACTCATACTCACTCATCTATGGCACAGCTGCTCTGCTCTCTCACTAAATTAGCTCATGAAAACAGTATCTCCAGGGATGGATGCTGGAGTTAACTTGAGTTTTAGATCTTTGTCCTAGTGACCAGCCCATAATTTGCCCTTACTTTTAGCCTGTCCAGCTCCAGCTGGTCCCGGCTGGCAGGGGCAGTCAAAGGAGAGCTGGGCCCCAAGGTAGGTGAAGACACACTGCCCTCACACTCGCTGAGCTTGATGATGACCTCGTCCTTGGCTTGGATGGTCTCCATCAGCATCCCCATTCGCTCGTTGAGCTCGCCCACTTTGCTCTTCAGTGTCCTCACTTCCTGCTGCAGGCTCTCCTTCTCCAGGCTGAACCTCTCCAGCTGGCTGCTGAGGCCCAGAATTTGATCGTCCTTCTGGTGGAGAAGCTCCAGGGTGTCCCTGGGAAGCCCCTGGCTGATCTGGTGACTTGTGAAGTATTTGTCATACTGGGATGACCTTACTGTCTGCTGGAGCAGCCGAATGAGCTCCTAGGAACCAGGAGGAGGACCAAGAGGGGTGAAGGGAGAGGGGGAAGGTAGGGGAGTAGAGGGGGAGGGTGGGGGGAAGATGAGGGAGGAAAAACAGAAATCATGACACTGTTACATGAAGTGATCATTGGAATTTCAGGAAACAGAAAGAAACCTCACTGGAAACATTTTAATACTGAACTTCCTCTTGAAAGATCTCAAAAACGGGACACACCACTTATTCCACAAATATTGTTTGAAGAGAACAATAATAGGAAACTGGAAATAATGGATGTGCATGCTGTAATTAGCAATGGTTCCTGGTACATATTTATCAGTGCTAAGCAATCTGCAAGTCTGTGTGGTGGCACACGCCTCTAATTCTAGCGCTGGAGCAGGAAGGTCAAAAGTTCCAGGTCAGCCTGGGCTACATAGTGAGACCCTGCCTCATAAAAAAAGGGGGTGGGGTGGGCTAGAGAGATGGCTCAGTATTTAAGAGCACATACTATTCTTCAGAGAACCTAAGTTCAGTGCCCAGCAATCATATCAGGCAGCTTACAACCACCTGTACCTCCAACTCCAGGAGAGCCAATGCCCTCTTCCAGTGTTCACATACACATATACACATAATTAAAAATAAAATCTTTTTTAAAATAGAGAGAAAAGAAAACTCGGGCTCTAAGACTCACTAAACTGCTGAACAATTTGGTAAAAGTAGATCTGATCAGCTCAGAAATACACTGCTGTTTGATGGGATATGGACTCTTTTTTAAATGACTATCAGAGAATTTTGGGCTGAGGCTGTGTTTTGAGTTAACTTCAGGCAGAACTAGGTGTGGGTGCAGAGAGCAACTTGAGCAATCTCATACAAGGACCTTCCCCCCACTTCAGATTCAAAGGTCTTTGAACAAACTGGGCACAGCTTAGGACACAGGACTGTGTAGCAAGCAAGGGCAGGCTTTACTCCTTGGTCCTTGACCTGTTGAAGGAACAAGATAGAAGCCTGAAGGGGACAATTACCTTCTGACTGGACAGGTCCTTCTTGAGCCGTTCTAGCTCCTCCTGCTGGCTCTGAATCTGCAGCTGCATCTCAGAGGCTGGCTTACTGATGCATCCACTGCCTGATGCCTCACTCGACGGGTCACCACTGCTGTGGCGATTTTTGTATGACCCAATGATGTCTTTCAAAGGGCGCTTTCCTTTGTAGGGGTTCCGTCCAAACTCGAAAGGGAATCCTGAACTAGTGACTGCTAGAAAAATAAAACTCAGTGTTGTGTTTTTGTTTTTTTTTTTAAGCAAACCAAACCTTTTTACAAATCATCCTCCAAAAGGGAGTTGTATTCATCACCCAAAGAACATTGCAGGGTGGCCTGGATGTCTCTTTGCCCCCACTGCATTCTAGAGAATAATCAACAGTCTAAACCCAGCAACAGTTTCCCCTGGACCACTCCTTGGAAGACTACTACACGATTAATTTAAAGAAAGCTAAGATGTACTAGGGAGTCCTTGGCTTCTCGTTTTTGCTCATCTGTTTTCAGCTAAAAACAAAATAACAAAAACAAGGAGCTGAAGAGATGGCTCAGTCATTAAAAGCACTGGCTGCTATTGCAGATGACCCAGGTTCAGTTCCCAGCACCCATATGTTGGCTCACAACCACCTGTAACTCCAGTTCCAGGGGATCCGACACCCTCTTCTGGACTCTGCAGGCATCAAGCAGGCACATAGTACACATACATACATGCAGACAAAACATTCATACACATAAAATAAAAAACAGATTTTAAGATTTAACAAATTTTAAAAAACAAAAACAAAAAAGCCAAAATGAATGTTTTTAAAAATTATAGGGGTTTGGGAGATGGCTTAGAAGTTACAAGCATTTGCCGCTCTTACAGAAGACCTGAGTTCAGTTCCTACCCACGTGGTGTCTCAAGACAGTCTGTAACTCCAGTTTTAGGAAATCTAATGCCCTCTTCTGGCTTCCATGGGCACCAGGCATGCAGGTGGCGCATATACATACACACAGACACTCACACATATTCATAAGATAGAAACAGATAAATCTAGGGACTTGGATAGATGGCTCAGCAGTTAGAAGTACTGGCTGCTCTTGCAGAGGATGGTTTAGTTTCCATCACCCACAAGGTGGTTCACAATCATCTAAAACTCCATTTCCAGGGTTCTGATGCTCTCTTCTGGCCTCTGTGGCTCCAGGTAGGCACATGGTGCACTTACATACAGAGGCTAAATATTTATACACATAAAAATAAAAATACATAAATCTTTTTTTTTAAGTTAATAAAAATAGGGGCTGGAGAGATGGCTCAAAAGTTAAGAGCACAAGCTGCTCTTGCAGAGAACCCAGGTTTAGTTCCCAGCACCCACATGCTGGCTAACAACTGTGTGCAATTCCAGTTCCAGAGATCCAACACCCTCTTCTGGTCTCTGCAGGCATTGCACAACATGGGTGCACTTACATATATGCAGGCAAAACAACTCATTCACATAAAATAAAAATAAATTTAAAAAATTTTAAAAGGGGCTGGAGAGAGAGTGCAGTGGTTAAGAACACTGACTGTTCTTGCAGAAGGCCTGGGTTCGAATCCAGCACCCACATGGCAGCTAACAACTGTCCATAACTCCAGTTCCAGGAGGGGATCCGATGCCCTCTTCTGACCTTAGTGGACATTGCACAACATGGGTATACTTACATACACGCATGCATATACATAAAATAAAAATAATAAATAAAATATTTTTTAAAAATTTTAAAAAATAAAAATTATAAACATTTTTCATTGTGACTGTATATATTATAGGATCTGAATAAATGCTAGTGTAAATGGCTTCAAATGTATACTCAAACACACAAACAGGAGACACAAAAGTACTATGTAGCTTTTTTTTGTTTTAGAGACAGGGTCTCCCTGGCAAGCCTGGAATTCTCTGTGTAGACCAGGTTGGCCTTGAACTCAAAAAGATCTACCTGTCAATGTTTCCTAAGTATTGGGATTAAAGGCATGAGCCAAAATGTCCTGCTTAGACTATGCAGTTTTGATTTATATAGGGCTAGGGAAGAGACAAAGGAATGTACTCTGAAGCAGCACAGTAGTCCCCTGGTGTCAGGCAGAGCCTGGAAGGAGGCTGACAGCATCTGGCACCTAAGTGGTGCTAGCTACCTGGTGTGCACGCTTCATGACAACTCATTGAGCCACATGTTTCTGACTTGGGGACTTTTCTGTATGTTATATTTCAATAAAACCTTTATTTAAAAGAGGGGAGGGGGTTGGAAAAATGGCTCAGTGATTAAGAGTACCTCTTGCAGAGGACCCAGGATTCAGTTCCCAGCACCCACATGATGGCTAACACCTTAACTTCAGTTCCAGGAGATCTGATACCCTCTTCTGACCTCTGAGGGCACTGCATTCAAATGGTGCACTTACATACATGCAGGCAAAACACTCATACACTTAAATATATAAGGGGGAAAATATAAGGGAGGGTAGTCCACTTCTTGCAAATAACATGCCACAGTTAGTGAGCTGATTCTTGGAGCCATTGCAGGAAGTGCCCACAAACCAAACTAGCTTCAAATCCAGAGACACTGCTGTCTTTCACACACACTCCCTGTCAAAGAGGGTTAGTGCTGGGCAAAGGTAAGTGAGCTGTTATCAGTCAAAAAATACTCTCCAGGGGTACCAAGAGCCTCTCATCCCTCCCAAGGCACTGTCCCCCACTGATACTCCCTTCCCTTGGCATGCAACATCTCTTCCATTGCCTGTATTTCCTAATGGAAGTCAGAGCAATGGTGTTCATATAAAATAATCTAAATCTTACCTTTTCTAGAAAGTATCACAGTGAGCCTGCATTTATTCTAACTGACCATGCCATACACCAGGCGACTAAGCACATTCACCGTGGCCACAGTGTACATTGCCACGTGGGATAGGAGACCCACACCATGGTTCCAGGGAACTCAGTCATTTCCCAAGCCCATCTACCTGCCTCTGGGCCCCCTCGCCCTGCTTAGTATGTATTTATAAGAGGTGATTAAAAATTACAACTACAGCCCCGCCCTCACCTCTCCCTGCTCCACAGACCTGCACCACTGGCTAATTCTCCTGGCCCGCTCTCCTGCCCTCAGGCCTCTCTTGGGGTAAGTCTACCACGCAGCCCCCCGCACCCTGACTCCCACAGCCGCGGTCACCCTTCCATCTCCCCCGCTGTTCTCTACTCCAAGCTTGGGCCCTGTGCCATTCCTAGTCTTGGGGCCCCAGACCCCTGGGGAGCCAGTGCTGCTTCCTGACCCTTTTCACCCAGACAGCTTGGTGCCTTCCTTGGGCCCCAGGAGTACTGCCTCTGGACCCGACCCACCCTCACCTCTCTCTGCTTCCCTGGTCCTGCAAAACCCGTGAGCCTCTTTCTGGGGCTGACAGCCTCTTTCTGGGGCTCCGAGGCTTACCTTGCCTCTCCCTGATCCTTTGCATCCAATACAACCCAGCTACTCAATCCACTCCCTGGGAAATCTTGGGGCTTCTTCCCTCCCCATCTGCCTTTGCATCCCTGCGTGGCAGGGCCACAGCCAGGATCTCAGGTCAGTCCAACACCCAAGTTCCTGA